GCCCCATCCGCGGTGCTTTCTTACAACATTCCAAGCTGATGCCCGTATCTCTAGGATCAAATCAAGCAATGCGTGATGAGCGCAAACCAAGCTGTACTGACCTCTCAAGCCAGTGGAAGGACAAGGGGACTCTGCACTGTTGTCCCCACCCCCCTGCCCCCACAAAGGGCTTGTGGAAGACTTCTGCACTGGATCCCCCCGGGAGAAGGCAAGAGGCGCCTTTGCGGACCCTTCCTATCCAAAGAACTTCATACGTGTTTCCACGGCTCCGTGAAGATCTCACACCCATTCTGGCTCCTTACTTCCCGTTTCTCGTAAAGGAATATGTCTGCTGATGGTTTCTCAGACGTCCCTTCTTGTCCCATCTACCTGTCCCTTCCCCAGAGTCTGTGGTTCTACCTGGAGTCCCAGACTCAAGACATCCCCTCACACAAGCCCTAGTTAAAATGCAGACGTTCAAATCCCCTACCTGTGGAGACCTTGGTCCAGGTAACAAAGGGCTTGGGTTTCCCCGTCGCCTCGCACGGGAACACAACGTCGCTCTCAGCGATGACGGACACGGTCTGGGGGAACTTGGTGACGATCTGGGGCTTTTCCCCAGGCACCCAGAACTTGGACGCAGGAAGTCCCCCGGCAGAGAAAAGCTTGGAGCTGCTCTGATGGAAGCTTCTGGAAGGCTGGACGGAAGGCGTCAAGGAAGGGATGGGGCTCCGGGTAGAGGAGACCAGAGGGACGCTCTGGACGTTGGTCGAGGGCGGCGCCGCGGTCCGGGGAGGATGTAATACCGGAGGTGCTGGGGGACCGAAATCCACGTGGGTGACGACGCTCTGAGAATGGATCCTGTTGTAGGGGCCTGGGTTGACCTTCCTCTCTCTCATCGCTGGGGCAGGAGAGGTGGGTGTCTGCGGCTTCGGAGTGACCCCCAACTGCGGGAAAGAGAGGGTCCTGTTGAAAACGAAAGGCAACCTTCCGTTGGAGTAGTGGGGAGCTCTCGCACCTGGGGGCTTGCCAGCAGGGCCCCTCACATCGGGGAGGCTGTTACTGCCGAACAGCTGGGACTTGCCGCTGAGTCGGTCAGCGGCCCGGTCTGCCGACGCACTGGGAAGGCTGGGTTTGGACCCGGGCAGCGGAACCACGGGAGCTGTCGTGCCTGACCATCTTGCCGTCGTGACGTGCCTGTGCTCCGGCCGAGCCCTCGACGGAGACGCGGCGGCTTCCGGGCTGCTGGTCAGGAGCCGAGAGGCCTGGGAAGTCCCAAAGTGTCTCAGGGAGCTTTGTGTGGCCGCAGGCGGTGGTGGCCTCACCGTCCCTCTCGGAGGGAGCACCCCGTCGGGGACTCTGGCTGGTGGCTGGGACACTTGCACGCTCCCGTCTGGGCCGCGTGGTGGAAGAACGTTCTTGGTTCTACCGTCAAACGCCTCCTTTCCTAACTCCTGCTTTGGAGTGAAGTTCGGTTTGTCCCGGCTGGAAAATTCATGTGGCCTCGA